TTGCGCACGTGTGCAACATAGCGAACCTTTCGAGATACGGAGCCCTGCTCTCTTTCGTGTTATTTCAAAATTTTTTTTGTCAAATACATTTCATCTCTTGAACTTTTGTATGAATAAGAATCCTTGTCAAAATATCTGCACTGGGAATAACATATTAAATTGGCTTGGCATGGTTGAGACCACGAACTTAGAGGCAGACGTACGATACACAGGTGCTTCAGTCACTAGAAGGTAAAGCCTGTTTATTCTTATCCTAGTATGCAATTTTCAGAGTGCACTAGTGGTATGTTACAAAATTGCCTGTACTTTAGTTTTGTATACCATTTGAGATGCGCCTGATAACAGAAGGCAATTTATTCAATCTCTACCTGGATCAGACTGGAAAGATTCTGAAGTGTTCATACTTGTCGATACACCGAAATAGCCAGTTTTACTAACGGAATTTATCAGAATTACATGTAATATCCCTTTAGAGCTATTCTGAAACGACAGCAGAAACCAAATAGTAAAAATCAAATACCGAGGTGAAATTTATAGAACAAGTTTAATTTAGTCTTAAGATTATTACTCAGGTTAACTTTTACCTGTACATGTACCATCTATCCATATGGTAGTATACCTGAACATTACTATATATTAGGGTATAGTGCTCGTCTTTCTCTCGTGAATAGAGTAAAATAAAGCATGAAATATAATAAAATCACCCTGCATTACTAGAATATTCCCTTAAAACACTCGTTAAGTATGAATCCACAACCATAAACGATGCTTTTATTGTTTATCTACCTGCCTTCAGCCAAACTCGGATGATCCCGAATTTCATTTCGTCAATAATGCGTGTAACGGAATCACACGAGATGCGACGAATGATACGAGTATACATATGTGTACAAGTAGGCCTACATGTATATAACATTCAACTGGGATCCATCATATTTGTACAGCTAGTGCATTGTTTTTATGTATATAATCAGAACTATAACTAAATTAAATATCCACTTGTGAATAAAACAATAGATTCGTGCCGTGTTCTTTTTTTTAGAATTCTTCATTAAATATAAATATATATTTAATTGTGCGATACAGTTAATATTCTTGGGCGATTAAAACGTTAAAATAATAGACAAGAAGTCAGACAACGGGCAGCAGTTGGCTGCCACTAAATGGAACTGTTTGGCATCATTAAATATCACTCACCTCTGGATTTAGGCCTATCAATACATTTTCACACTGAATAAGATATTACTTATCAAAGAAAACAGTAGAAATCAGTAGATCCACTACTCGTAGTATAGTAGGCCTACTAACAAAGTGTGCAGTATAATCATACACATGTAGGCCTACTATGCATCGATCTACAAATATACTAAAAAGATCGCTGGTTTTCACCGGTTTATCAATATATGGCTGGATTTTTGGCATTGTAATAGTCTAATTATATTATTTGGATATGTTCTAAAGCTTGTGTGTACAATTAATACAATACCAACGACAATAAGCTTGTCTTAGCAAGGCGCGTTCCTTCCAGAAGATCATAACTGCTTATGGTTTCTCTCCCCGAGCCAATCTCTGGTTGATATCTTCCACCACTTCTGGGAGCTCCGCGATGGAATCAATGACGTAATGGGCACCTGACTTCCTCAGTAGGTCACGTGATTTCTCAGTCCGTACCTCCATATCTTCTGCTGATACTTTAGCTGAAATGCCAATACAAAATCGCCTTTAAAGTTCCTGGATATAGCTTATTTAAGGTGCACTTGGAAATATGTATTTTAAAATATTTATTTAAATATTCAAATATGAAAAGAAATATTTTAAAAATTTAGTATTAAGCATATTTTTCAACGTTTTTAAAATATATTTATAAGAAAAAATGTTCTTCAAAAGCAAACAAGTGCGTACAAATTCTTATCACTTTCTGACAATGCCTATGATACAGAGCTACATGTATTTTGCTTGAAATAAATGATAAACAAAAGAATGCATACCCCGGTAAGTTGCCCTAAAAAAAATAAAACATGTACATACCCTCATCTTCAAGCGTATGAATCCCCATATAGTTGCTGTACCTGGCCACTCCCACACCCCAACAGCCCGCCTCGATAGCTTCTCCAACTCCCGATACAGTGTCATCAACCTGTGGAAACAAATACAGCTATACAACTGTAGCACACAACATATGGCTTCTCTACAACCCTGATAACAATTCCACCAACTGTGTTCTATGTTGAGTTATGATGATAGTTTCTTTTCATTTTACTGGTGTTTCGGCCATTTTTAGAGAATGAGGGGAAAGATTGTGGAGGGGGGTGCATGGTGGGGGGGGGGATTCTACCTATGATACCACCTGCTGTCTTATAAAGATACTAACAAACACAAATCTAATTCTCTAATCATTCACATCCCATATGCATAAACTTTGCATCAAAAATACAAAATGAAAATGATAAAGCATCAAGCAAAGGCAAAGCTAGCTGCCCCACCCTGCCTATATATCATTTACATCCAAGTAACCTTAGGCACAACAGTGTTATACTGCATTTTAATTCCAACTCTTTTTATTTTAATGAATCTTTATAGTAAAATCAATAACTTAGAAATGATGCCATCAATGCATAGTTTGCAATTGATATATAAAGTAATGATATAAAACTTTGGAGATGATGGGGCTGCTGAGAGGAGGTGGGGTTTGGGATGGGGGGGGGGTGGCAAGCACACTCTCCTATCCCATCACCTCTGCAGAATATCTGTTGACAAAAAAAAAAAAAGATGCAGTGTAGATCATTTTGTAGTGCTTAGGCACAGCCCACAGATAAATCTTTTCTAACTTTTTGGTAAGGTAAACCGTAAAGAACTGGGAATACTGGAATCCTATATTCAGTTCAGGAGAGGGGTATTCACACTAATAAAATGATGTCACTTAATTGTAAGGTTGGCATGTAGTGTACCTTGACCACAGCTTGGATGGGGTTCACGTCCAGCAAGTCCATGTTTTTGTAGACCATGTGGGGTTTAGGACGAGCCCCATTGATGACCTCATCTCCCGCCACTGTGACATCTGGTTTGTACCCTAAAGTGCAGGTTGTTAGGTTAAGCAGGAAATGAAATCGGTGGGACAAACAAAAATTGGATAAATGCATTAAATGAAGTAAATAAGTTAATTAAGCTTGGAATTATCTGAAAAGGGCTGTAGCAATGCAATAGTCCGAATGTTCGTTGGTCTGAAGGTTTGATAGTCCAGTTAATGCAACAATAAAGTTTATAGTGTACTGGTGATAAAGTTCATTTGATGCCCATGCATGTGATTTTGGGACTAATGAACCTTTGAACCAATGAATCTTCAGATTATTGAGGCAATCCATTTAAAAGGTTCCATACTCTGTTTTACCACTAGGTCCATAAGCAGCAGTAAAACGAACTAGCATTGCAAAAAAATATATCAAACCTTTGCCAAAAATATGCATATTCAACAATATACAAGAAAAATGCAAAGCGGAAAATAGAAAAAAAATCAAAATAAAATTATATCTTTTATTAATTGTAAGTGGAGGATAAATTATGAGTAAATTTAGTCAAAGAAACATCACATTACTGCCTTGAAATAATGTCTACATAAAAAAATCAAAATTATGTAAAAAATACTTTCGCTTAAATTTTTACTCATATAAAGTCCTTGATGCCTTTCCTTTCCATTTTTTTTTAAATAAAATATTTCTCTCTCTTTTTAAAATGCATATGAAGGTCCGCAAGAATCTGTAAGTTTTTCATTCATGCCCTACAGTGCAACAATTTAAGCCTATGCTCACCTTGTTTTATAGCATCTGCTAATAGTATGTCCACCATAGCTCTGGTGAAACCAGTGGTGGTTCCCAGTTTGCACTTCAGTTCATTCTGCAATCTCTGCAATATATAGCATTGCATTAGGTGAGAGACTCTTATAAAAGTGTGTTAGGTGAGACATACATATATTAATGCGTTAGATGAGACATACATGTATTACATATAGTGTATTGGGGCACGCTCAAAACATAAGTGTAACAAACATCAATTTGCAATGTTTTACTTGCCACACCTTAAAATTAAATTTAAACTGAGATCTACTAGGGAAAAGTGGGGCACTGGTAGTATACATTTTCTGATTAGAAATCAAATTTTGTGGATGTTAAACTTCATATTTAATAACTGTTTGGTCTTTGCACAGCTTGGAGAGAGAGAGAGAGAGAGAGACAGAGAGAGAGAGAGGAGGGGGGGGGGGCAAGGACTCACCTGTGTGGCTTCTACACAGCCTGGAATGAGGGTTGTGTACTTAGGTAAGCATGCCAACTGCATAGGAACAAAGTCCTTGAACATGTTGTCCACATCCTGCTGGTTGGGGTAGCGGTTATACACACTGTGCCATCTCTCCCGTACCTCTGGAATCTCAGTTAATGCCTGAAGGGATAATATTAAACACTAGAATTTTATAATCATGCTAACACTTACATGTATCACTGTATAATTTTCCTTAGGGTTTATTATTCTGTCATATGTAATGAGTGCATCTACTTTAATGCACTGAATATGTACCAGTATTTTGCCTGGGAAAATGATTAAGATTTTATATACTCATATTATAATTTACATATATACTGGTAGCTAGCTTATAGACATAAATGTATATGCACTGTACAATGTACACTAAACCTTTATATGAGCAACAACAACACCAAAAAAAAAAAACAATTCTTGTAAATTTCAACAGTTTTTCAGTAATCACTTAGCTACTTACATAGCCTACCGATACTTAAAATGTTAAAAAAAACATAAAGATCTACAGGCTCATTTGCAAGTTTTAAATTTCAATATTAACCATTACGGGTAAAATTCACCAGTCTACATTTCCATTATGGGAGTGACTCCAATATTACTACATGTATAACAACATTAGAATGATGATATCTCTGGTAATCTCACCAGTGTGCCTATAATTATTTTCTTGGTACATTAATATAATACATACAGTATGTAATATGGTGATTACTCAATCTTTTCAATGGGGGGAAATTGTGAATTTACAGATACTTTATTTTTAAGTCATAATTTCTTTAAATATAATTTTTTTAGTTTTATTCTATGCTATATAAAATATAATTTTGTAATTATAAAATTACGTATCTGAAAGGTTGATAATTTCTGCCCACTAAAAAAGACTGAGTCATTACCAAAGTACAATGTACATGTTTACCTTAATATGGAGATCCTTCCTCAGTCCCATGGGCAGCCTAGCCTCCTCCATTGTAATGGGCACACGGTGTTTCTCAAACACATCCTTGAAGACCACAGCTGGGGCGATGACATACTTGTCTGCAGTGGTCCCACTCCAGTCTAATATCACAGCCTTCACTGGGCCAATATACTGTCTGAGAAAACGGTAGTGCGCCATCTTTGTCTGAAATGCATGGAATACTGATATATAGGTAACACGTAACATTGATACAGTGTGTAAAATTAATTAGAGCATGAAAATGTATGGCATCACTTTCAAAGGTAATACATGCATGTATTAATGTACATGTAAGCTAGCATTTCTAATGATTTTTCAATTTTAGACAACTGGCGGTTATTTTATACACCTGGCACTCACTGCCGTACCGGTGTGGCAGGAATGGTAGTCGGCTAGGAACCGTAGTCATTGTGTAGTCCGTTCCGCATAATTACTTATTTTGCACAGGTTACATTCGTCCCATATATCAATGTGATATACTAATTCACTAGTGGGCTTGATTTGGTCTTGAAGTGCAATTTAAGATCACAAATTGTCTTATGTGATCTTAAACCATGAGTAAGACCATTTCTGCACTGACAGCCAATTAAGTTGTCTCCCCTTACACATTCTCCTATTGTGAGCAGAGGTACTAGTACGTGTCCTCTATTGTGAGGGGAGGAAACTGCATGACTACTTAAGTAGATGTTAGATCATTTTTTTACCTTAAAAGCAGATTCAGTCCATTTTAAGACTACTGCTGTAATGATTAAGACCGTGTTAGATCATCTGTGATCTTTAAGACCAAATCCAGCCCACTATAGTCAATACTACGACTAAGCCTAACCTGTATTAATCACTTGGGACCAAGGACTGTGGCTACCACTCCTGTACATGTGACACAGAAACACCTTACAATAACTTGGCACAGAGTACATTTACTGCCTACTGCCGCTGCCAACTGGGGCTCATCCAATATACATGTATAATACAGGTACGTTACCCGGTACATCTACAATGTATATACTGTATGACTCACATTACGTGCAAAGTTCTAGAGGCCCAGATTACATAATTTGGTGTCATAAAACTTTACCATACTACTTGACAACAACTAAATACCTTATGAAAAAATAGAAGTGCAAGCACTTGACTTACCACGTAAATTGCAAATAATCAGACCATCAGCATCATTCAAGTAAAGTCCGCCTCAAACAATGCCTTTTCCAAACAAACATTCTAGACTCTTAAAACAAAAGATTCGCTATTTTTAATATCTGGAATTTGAAATATCCACCCTGACATGTGTGAGTTATTAATGTACATAATAGGCGTTGTAAAACCCGTCGTCATTTCTGTTGTACCTGTAGCTTACATGAAAGGCCCTATCAAATATTGGTGCACCGGTCACAAGAAGAAAAGGAAGTAGGGAATCCCAAAACGAAAACGAGGCCTGGGGTCGGGGATTTCCCCGACTCATAAAAAGTGGACGGTGACGCGGAGAATTTTCGCTGGGTTTGGTCATGTTAAAATGCGCAGTTGACATGATACCATGTATTTATTGAGTCAAGGTATTTTCAGAGTGTGGATATATCAGCTGCTAGGATATTAACAGTTAAACTGAGATAACAAGTAAAAAAATCTACGCGCAATTAAAGCTTTCGTTTCACTTTCGTATCGAGCAGTACAAGTATACAAGGCGGTACCTGTAAGCGAAGACATCCGTATTAGTTCATGCAGTAACCATGTCTGACCTACCAAGCAATGTAGAACCAGATTTTGTACCTGTGGAAGACGAAGATCCTACGCCAGTACAGTGTGAAGTTGCAGAAAGAGAGACACAGGTAACGATACATGTACCGGGTAGTCTGCCTCGGTGGGTTAATTAACTATTGTGAAGAACGTATGTGCACCGTTTACTTGTACTTTATATGGAAGAGAGAAAGGCCTTACACTTAAACGGTGCAGTGTACATGGCATTGAACACGACATTTCTTTGTGTATGTGTCAGTACAAGGGTTTTATGTACATGTATAGTTTTTTTCTTTAAAAAAAAAGACCTGCTGTAAATGTACATGTATATTTATTGTTTCTCAGTCTGTAATGCCCAACCAACCTGCAAGTATCAACACCTGTTACACTTAAATTGGTTGATAATTTTACAGCAAATAATCATATCTATCCACTGCAATTTTCACAATCTTAAAGATTTCATGCATGCATGTATACTGGTACATTGCACATAAATTGTACCACATGTAGTACTGATACTGGTACATATTTACTGAGATAACGTACATACTTGTACCCCAGTAATCCATGTATTGCACCATGGCTACTACCTAACTTGTACCATTTAAATTGCATGTATTATATTATTGATTGTACTGGAACATGCATTTGTCTGCGAGTTTATCTTTTAAGTACTTCATGAAGGCAAGTACTGGTCTCTTACATGCATTTACATGTATGTACTTCAGTGCACTTACTACACATTGTACCAGTACCATACCATGTATACCCAAATGTTTTATATGTACATATCAAATAGACATACTGGGTAGGTACATGTATAAATCCTTTCCTTGCAGGTAAAACATGTATATGGACCAGTGTCTGATAGATCACTGCAACCCAGTATGCACTACCAGCGTGTACCTGACCCAGGACCTGATGGCAAAGAGACCTGTAATGTCCCATCGAAGGGACAGCAAAATTGGTAATTTAACCTATAAATCCATATAGTGCTTTTATAGTCATACATGTACATGTAGCTTTAATGGATTGTGTGACAGAACGAACTTATGCCATGAACTCATGCTGAACTTGATACGTACTGCATGTATCATGTTAATGACTGTTTATGGACAAAGATGGATTTAGTCTCCACCCTACCACAGTAATTATTATCTTCTTGATTATTTGTATGAGATACATTTTTAAAGGTGATGCAAAAGTACGAGTGCCTTATTAATTGCAACTACTAGCTGGTACATGTAATAAGGGCAGATTTGGATGGAATTCTCATAATTTTGAAATGCAAAACAATTAATTAAAGGAAAAAAAGTTGTTATTGGTTGGTCAATTTCCAGTGAAGAGCAAAGCACCATCAACACAATGCCTGTTAATATCAGCAGTGAAGAAGATTCCCTAGACTCTGGTTTGGACTCCATGGCACCAGATGTCGCCACCTCTCAGTCCATAACTGCTGATTTGTCAGCAGGCATGCAGAAACTGACACTAAGAAGAGAACTGATGAAAATGGGAAATATCAGAGAAGATGAAGGAGAGGAAGCAAACCTTTCAATACCCCTGCAAGAAAGTGGGATAGGAGAACAAGAAGAAAGCAGGGAAATTAAACAGCAAACACAACAGCAAGTTCGACGGCAATTACTACAGCAACAACAACAACAACAACAATGCTATCATCCAAACCTAATGAATAAAAATCTCTATCAACAGGAAGATGTACGTCAACAACAGCAACAACAACAACAAAACCAGATTTCAGGCACTCACCCATACTTTTTCAGAGAAAGTGGGGGCTCTCCATCAACAGAAAAAACAACAATACAACAGATACAAATACAGGGGAATCCTAGCATCTTTTATCCAAGACCTCCTCCAGACGAAAACTATAACCCACAAACCCAACCCTACCGTTCCATTCATTTGAGAATGACCAATACCCATAATGCAAACACTAGGTTCAGTAATCTCAGTTATGCTACACCAATTTCAAATTACCCAACTTCATACAGACATACGCATCCTTCTCCAGTCATCAGGGCTGACTATTGCTATAGAGGTGCCAGTAATTGTGGTAGAGAAGACTGTTTCAGAGAAGATTGTGTTGGGTGTTACTCCCTAGGGAGCAGCAGGGTGGAGACTGGGTGTTTCTCTGGTTTTCCAGCCAGACCCACTGAGGAGCAAGTGATGGTTGCATTCTTCCAGGACGAGGATGGAGACACGTAAGTGCATGGTTTATTTTTTCATAGCAATTTAGATATTTTATTTTTTTTTACTTTCAAAATTACGTCGTTTCATTTTTTTTCTGTAGGCCCATGATGTAGGTCCATCATTTATGTATTTTTTGTCTTAATAAGAAAAGAATAATATGAAAATAGTGCAGTGCATGTAAGAAACATTTTTTCTTCAAACACCGAAACTTGAAAACAATTTTAAAAAAAGAAAAGCATCATATGTCGTACAGTTTATATAGATTAACCTTATTGCTTTTTTTGTCCCTTTATAAATCTTTTTGAAAAAAATTCCTTGTACAAAACATCCTATTACATATGCATGAGTCTATTTACTACACACAATTTCACCCATCTTCTCTCCCATCCCCACCCTACCCCCACAAACCAACACCACCACCCCTAGACCTGCAGAGAAAAACTGTTGCTGGGTGACAAAGCTAAAAATAAATCACCTTCTGTTTGGAATTTCTGTACCATGATAATTTGATAACCTAGATAAACTTGATAAAAAAAGGGGAAATCCCTGTAAGGCACTCCTGGTACAGTGGGTATATATAGAGGTGCATGTACATACTTAATGGATATCCAAGAATTTGCATGATGGTTAAAAATTAAATTGCACCAGGTATGGCCCTACTACACCACACTTTGTAGACTTGCACATAATGAGAAAGAATATTGAATTTATAAGCAGTTTCTCTCTATAATGCTCATGAAAACATATAGTGGGCTTTTAATGTATTTTATGTTGTTTAATGGAAAGTGAATATACACTGTATACCAGGGGCGGATACTGGATTATTTGAAGGGGGAGTCCAGTTTTTTTTTAAAGAATGACAGGCCTTGGATGCGAAGCTGAACCTTGCCCCCTTGATATGGGTTTTGGTGTTATGGAGGGGACACGGTGCCATTTGGTGTAGTTTAGAACTATGATTCAACTTTTCAAAATTCTAATATCAAGAAGGGAATATTGGGGTGATTTTTCTCAACAAACCAAGGGGGGGGTCTGGAACCCCCTAACATCCTCCTAAATCCGTCACTGAGAATACTAATATCTTAATTAGCCCTATGCAATATGTGTATTTAAAGGGGCTAGAAAAATCATTTTAAAAGGGATGCAATTTTTTAAAACAATTTTTTAAAACTTTGAATGACCTCAAAATATTCAAATGAAGTTAAATGATAAAGACAGAACAGTACATTTGTACCAGTCCTTAAATTGTAACTTGTAAACAGAAAATTCCCCATTGTAATGAAATGTCAATATTCACTGTGTAAATATAGGGAATTCCCCAAAAGATGAATCATACGTACATACAAGGTACAGTACCTGTCAATCATGACTATGGTGCTTTTGAGTTTATGTAAGCATTGTGGTCATAGCTTTTTTTAAAGAATTTTCCAATTTTCCACTGCCTCCCACGATCTTTTTTTTTTTTTTTTTTCTTTTTTTTTTTTCTTCAACATTCTCTTTATAATAATCCTTATGATGCATGTGCATACTTGGGGAAAACCAGGTCTACAGTGTATGGTAAAATTTACCAATGTAGTAATAGGTATTTTATCACCAGTAATCAAAAAATTAGCATCATGACATTTCTATATGCACATAAAAATTTGTTTGATTCAAAAATTTATTTGATTCAACAAAGTTCTACTAGTTGATTTTGCCGTTAGCAACATTTTTACTGTGTCATAAATCTGGTTACAGAAATTAGAAAATTCCACGTGGTTATTGAGTCTGACATGAATCACCATATATTCCTGTGAGTCAGATTAAGATTATAATTAAGAACTATTGTAATAGTCAGCTACTTAAATACCAGTACAGCTCATCTGCCAGAAACCAGTCATTTCCATGTCATAACACGTAATTGGCATTGGTACAAATATATCATATTTATGTTGTTTTTTTTTTCCACTGAGGCGTATAATCTTTCTATGAAGATTGTCAGGAATTCCCATTACAGTGATTTCCAAAATGCCATCCTGTTATTTAGTTTAGATCTATAAATATGTATCTGTGATAGTGAACAGATGGTAAATCTTCCATATAGTCATAAAACACACCTGTGGCTACTAGTAGATGAGAGTATGTGAGAACAGGGTTTTCTGCTGATAATAATAATTTTGGTCACAGAAAGTTTGTAAAATGTTTTATGCCCAAAATGAGAAAAAAATTACCCCCAGTGGAAAAATCTAGATTTTGCTTATGGCTTGTGGTAAAAAATTGAGATTTCATTTTTGTTCGTGCAAAACACCAATTTAAACTGAAAACAAGAATTATGGATTAAATAATAATAATAATAATAATAATAATAATGATACTTAAATAGAGTCTTAAATCCAAGTAACATATATTGTTTGATAGACTCAATAATGTAAAACTAAAGTTAAGAAATATGATAAAAGGAATTTGATTTATATTAAATGAAAAGTCAGTTTTAACTGACTAAACAGTTCAATAAAAAGTAATAAAAATATGCAAGAGCTATAGAATGTGATGTGATGTTATTTCATATTTTTTAATTTTATATATAGACTAAGTGACTGCCAATAAGTTTTCAGTGTATTATCAGAATTTAGTTAAAGCACTTTTAAATAATAATTTAGAGTATTGAACTTTATCTGAGAATTGCCATGTGATACATTATGCTGACTGTCAGCAGATAAACACAAGTGTGTATGGTATTAAATTAAATCATTTTAAAAAATTCAAATAAATTAATGACTATTTTGAATTCAGTGTTTTCTTTAAATGTGCTTTCAGGCAACTTCACATAGCAATCATCCTGTGTCTTGAGAGGGAGGCGTCCCTGTTCATTTCCTGGGCACCCAGGTACCACTATTTGAACATAGCCAACTTCCTAGGCCAGACCCCTCTTCATCTGGCAGTCCTGACACAGTCACCTGTCATAGTGAGAAAACTTATGACTTCAGGTAGGTTTGAGTTCTAACTTTGAAGTGTGTTCTTGGAGGGGTCACATCATTGTGATGATACAGTCGTTCTTAAATGTCACCATGAGACTGACTGTGTCATTTTGTTGTTAATTGTCAATGTTTTAAAAAGCTTTGTTTTGTAAGTTGCTTTTAATTCTTAAATGTATGCAAAGTGAAATGATGTATTATTAATAATAGTAGTAGTAGTAGTGATAGCGTTAGTATTGTTGATGTTTTGTGTGTGGCATTGTTCTGTAGGGTACCCAACTGAAAAGATCTAACTATTTCTGATCAGAAATTGCTAGCCTAAGGACTTCAATTATCAGAAATACTCAAAACTACAGGGATTTTGTGGACCATTAGTGAGACCTTTCCAAGACATAATTTGATAAATTTCCAGTAAGACGTGTTGTAGTAGAAAGCTGGAAATCTTCGGAAATACAGAAAACTGTCCCACAAACTCTGATAACTCTGGAAAGTAACAGATATTCCAGGGTTTACTTAGACCAACTTTCTCATTAAAAAACAACAGAAACTAGAAATGATCAGAAATACCCAGACAAAGTGAAACAAGTTTGGACAAAATCTGTTTTAGGTGACCTGATTGGACGTAGATTACATCAAATTTTGCTTAAACCAACACTTCAGCAGTTTCCAATTTGGATTTAGTTTAGTCAGTGACTATAGCTGTGCTAACTAATTTACCGGTAGAACCTTCCACCCATTAGTACATACCAGAAATAACTGACATTCATATATATATTAAATTTAATTTCAACTATTATATTCTATAAACCACCATAATCTGGTGCTCATTACCTCCAAAAATGATAAAATAGACATCAGTACTGTTAAGAATGCTATAAAAATTATTTAAAAGGTGTTTTTATCAGATATTCAACAGCAGGAAATTATCAGAAATGATGAGAAATGTTATGTTTGGTAAGAACTCCATTTTTAGAAAATGGACAGAAATGATGGGATTTCCTCAGGCAAACAAAAACTGCAAATAGTAAAATGTAGCTGGCAATGAACAGACAAAGTATTGTAGAAAATGCTGGGAATTTCTCAGACCTAATTTTGGATAATTCCCAGACTAAGAATATTTCGTTTTTACTGCAATTTTTAGAGTATTTCCTGATACAGTGTATCTTTGTCCATTTACTCCAATGTTCAAATTTCTGATTATGCTGGGATAATGTCTGAATATTTTGTGTCATTTCCTATCAAACTTTCTCAGACATGTCTGATTAATTTCTGATGGCACTTTTTTTTTGGGGGGGGGGGGTGTGATTGCCATCTGTACGCTCAAGACTATCATTTTAAATGTTACAAAGGGGGGTCTAATGAGCAAAACAATTTTGGAAACTTTTAGTAAAATTCAAAAAGTAAAGTTTTTTTTTAATTTACATAATTTCAAAAGAAAGTTGAATGATAAAGAAAACTTGAATGCTCTAAATCAGGGTACACTGTATATTCAAGGAAGACGTGATTTTATTTTTCAACAGGTGCTACGATTGAAACTTATGACCACAATGGGAATACGCCCCTCCATCTGGCGAGTCGTGACGGAGACACAGAGTGCATACGCATGCTGACAACGCCAGTAACATACCGCGAGGTTTGCAGAAGTAGATACACAATACCATACCAGAAGATACCGCAGGACCTGGACCTGTTGAACTATGAAGGTGGGTCAGTGACCCCATTCCCATACCAAGATCGATCTAGAAGGATCGATACAACTCCAAGGGGTTTCTCGTTAAATTACATATGTAGCTTACACAGCTCTAATGTCTGACACACCAACTGAGGCTGTTAGGGGGTAATTAATTATCATGTAGCAGCTTCAGTAGGCGTGCCAGACATCTAAGCCACTTAAGCTGAAAGAATTTGGAGATGGGTTGATTCTGCTAGCACTTCATTTTTTCCAATTTTTCCTCTGTCAGGATTTCTTTTCATCCAAAAGTGTCACCAAAGATATTTTTTTTTGGACATATTATTGACAGTATTGCATAAAATAATAATTGGTATTCAAAGTGAATTATCATATCAACATGCACTTTGTGTTCAAAAGTCAAACACCATTCACTCGTCAGAATTTTAAATTATATTATTTGGTAAACAGTTTTTTATTGGTTTTACCACCAGGCCAGAGTTGCCTTCACTTGGCTGCGTCAAGGAAACATATTGGTGCTGTTGACTACCTGATCTCACTGGGAGCTGACATCAACGTTGAGGTGTGTTGATTTTCTGAACTGCTCGTTACATCTGATATAGAATTATAACAGTTTCATATTGAAATTCATTAATCCTAGGGCTTATTCCCATTGAAACTACATATATCAGTCTACTAGGATCAGTCTGATTCTATGGTGACTCGCTGAACGCAATGGGAATGACACATAGTCTGACTGAATAAAATATTAATTTTTATCATTTTTTATATATATTTGCTTTTGCATGATGATTTTAATGTAATTACTGTCAGAATAAGATATTTCTGTATTCAAGTGTCTTATTATTCCAAATGTGCTAGCACTTCCTTTTTACGTCATCTTTCTTCTCCTCATTACTCTAACCATACTATTTATGGTACAAAATCTAACTGTGATTTGACCATTACTCTGTTTGCCCCCAGGATGGTAAAAGTGGCCGCACCATCCTCCACCATGCTGTAGAAACACGGGACATTGAACTCCTGTATTACCTCCTCAGTCAACCTGATATCAACCTGGATGCCAGGACATATGACAACTGTAGCCCTCTGTCACTAGCAATGGGTAGAAGGTAATGGATATTTTTTGTTTATTCTTTATATGTTTATTATCTTTTACGATGGAAGCTTTCCAACATTTTTGGATAGGATGCATTAATTTTTATGTTCATTTTTTCTTTCTTTCTTTTTTATTATTTGTAAAGAATAATAAATGTCTGACATAGTTTTCACATGCTTTAATTACTTTTTTGTTTGTTTGTTTTGTTTTGTAAAAGCAACATATCATTATAAAAAAGCAAGTGTGTTTGTGGTGCTTAACTACTGGTAATGTGTTACATGTAGATGATGTAGTGTTTGCTACCATTAAGTGAGAATTCACAAAAATTGTGTAAGACATGATTCATAATCATACCAGGCATGTGCTAATACCCTGCCTCTCAAATATCTTCCAGATACCAAGATATAGCCACTCTCCTCATCAACAATGGGGCCCTTTTTTCACAGTGGCAAAATGCCAATGAAGATGACGAGGAAGACGAGGAGTCTTCAAGTGATGAGGTATGTATATGGTGGCATTCACAGCAAATGGTCTGTGGACTTACTGATCTGCAGATTAAATATGGCCGGTCCCACTTAAAAGCAATGCTGCTTAATCCCCTGGCTGTCTCCTCACTTCCACACACGTCACCCATGCAGGGGCCTAGCAATTTAACCTTGGAGCATGTGGTAGGCAGTGAGGCCATTAGGGAATATGTGGCATCGCTTTCAAGTGGATTCAGCCATATTTGATCAGCGGACCAGTTAGTCAGCAGATCATCTGATCTGAGTGTGGCCATATATTTAGAACAAGAAGACCAATGAGCTGCTTTGATCACTCTTTAGATTAAAATGTTGTACAGATGCATAGTTAGAGGTGGGAGGGTGCAACCCCCACCCCCCAACCTCATTGGCATCCCTCTCCCTTCTGAGTTGAATCTGCCAGTGAGATGTTATCAGTTTTATGCATTTTTACAACCATGCAACTCCCAAAGTGATTTACATTATCAGTTTAAAAGCCACTCACTTATTTAAAACGTCTCCTTAATGTAATAAACATCGATATGTAGAGTTATTACTCTAAATAAGTGTCTAAAAGCTAATTATATCTTGACCAGGCAACAGTGAACATATAATTATACTGGTTTATAATTTTTTGTTTCATATTTCCAGGAAAACTTAGAATTAGATGATATCATGATTAACGGTCAGCCACTGAGAATGGCTGGAGAAGATATCCCTCCCTCTTGGTGAATAGAATCCTATACGTAACTCCTTGATGGACAATTTAACCAAGAATATATTTTGTAAATGTCCAAAACTAGTGACCGTGATATTGTTATAATCACCAGCATGTTTTTGAAGCTGATGTTATCAAACGTGTAGGCCTATTTGTATGATCACCTATAGGCAACTGTTATCAATCTATATTAAATATTATATATTTCTGTAACATTGGAAATTAACCCAGAAGACAGTGGAAGGAGGCCCTAGAAAAGAGGATTGACTCATTTCTAAATAATCTGACTTTGATACATGTAATTGTTTCTGAAGTTGTGCATGTATCTCTGCTTGGGCAAAGGAACATATATATACCAGCACACTATGCAATATGTGGGATACATACCGGTATGTTAAACGGGTAAAATAAGCAGCACCCTATATTTACTACGCCATGTACTTAAGATAAAAGAGCTCTGATCCAGTTTATTGACAAGCCGCTGATACAGTACTGTACCGGTAGTTCGCGGTATATTAAGACAGAAACTTTTTTTTTTGTGGAAACCGGAGCAAGATTTAGCAAGCAAGATATAGGAAATTGCTTTTATTACTAGCTGTATAGAAAGATGAAAAAGCAATTGATAACAGATATTGTAACGCTCAAAAAAAA